GGGAGTTCACTCATGATTTGGCTTTCTGCTTGTCTATTATTGGTGTATAGGAATGCTTGTGATTTTTGCACATTGATTTTGTGTCCTGAGACTTTGGTGAAGTTGCTTATCAGCTTAAGGAGATTTTGGGTTAAGACGATGGGGTTTTCTAAATATACAGTCATGTCATCTGCAAACAGAGACAATTTGACTTCCTCTCTTCCTGTTCAAATACCCTTTCTTTCTTTCTCTTGCCTAATTGTCCTAGCCAGAACATCCAATACCATGTTGAATAGGAGTGGTGAAAGAGGGCATCCTTGTCTTGTGCCAGTTTTCAAGGGGAATGCTTCCAGCTTTTGCCCATTCAGTATGATATTGGCTGTGAGTTTGTTATAAAAAGCTCTTATTTATTTGAGGTCTGTTCTAAATTTTAAATGATTTGGCCAGGTATAAATTGTTCCCTCAATACCTAGTTTATTAAAGTGTTTTTATCATAAAGGGGTGTTGAATTTTATTGAAGTACTTCTCTGCATCTATTGAGATTATCATGTGGTTTTGTCATTGGTTCTGTTTATGTGATGGATTATGTTTATTGATTTGCATATGTTGAACCTGTCTTGCATCCCAAGCATAAAGCCAACTTGATCGGGGTGGACAAGGCTTTTGATGTGCTGTTCAATTTGGTTTGCCAGTATTTTATTGTGGAGTTTCATACTGATGTTCATCAGGGATATTACCCTGAAATTTTTTTGTTGTTGTTGGATCTCTGCCAGGCTTTGGTATCAGGCTGATGCTGGTCTCATAAAATGAGTTAGGGAGGAGTCCTCTTTTTCTATTGTTTGGAATAGTTTCAGAAGGAATGGCAAAGCTCCCCTTTTTACCTCTGGTAGAATTCAGCTATGAATCCATCTGTTCTGGGCTTTTTTTGGTTGGTAGGCTATTTATCAAATGGAAAGCAAAAAAAAGCAGTGGTTGGAATCCTAATATCTGATGAAACAGACGTTAAACCAACAAAAATCAAAAAAAGACAAAGAAGGACATGACATAATGGTAAAGGAGTCAATGCAACAAGAAGGTATAACTATTCTGAATATATATGCACCCACTACAGGAGCACCCAGATTCACAAAGCAAGTTCTTAGAAATCTATAAAGAGACTTAGACCCCCAGATAATGATAGTGGGAGACTTTAATACCCACTGTCAATATTACACAGATCAACAAGACAGAAAATTAACAAGGATATTCAGGACTTGAACTCAGCTCCGAACCAAGCAAACCTTATAGACATCTACAAAACACCTTCTGTGTTGATCTCGCTGGGGCTGCAGGCCAGAGCTGTTTCTGTTTGGCCATCTTGCCAGCCACCAACTTTATGAATGAAAGATAGCTTTATGAATGAAAGATAGCTTTATGAATGTGGAGTGGGGAACACTTTTCAAACACAATACCAAAAGTGCTAAACCATAGAGAGTAAGATTGATAAAATGGGCTACATTCAAATTAGGAATTTCTCTTCCTTAAAATACTTTATTAAAAATAGGAGAACATATTTGTAGTACATATAATCATCAAAGTGATTGTATCCAAAATATATAAACAACTTTATAGGTAAATGACTAAAAATAACTAGTTAAAAAAATGGGAAAAGATAGGAATAAGTTCTTCATGAAAGAAGATATCCAAAAAGATAATTACCATGCAAGAAGTATTAACTTTCTTAATCATCATAGAAATACAAATCAAAATCGTAATAGTCACTTAATAGCCAAAATTAAAGGGAATGATTATTTGAATTTTGGGCAAATTTGTGGGGCATCCACAGTTCTCATATATTGCTGGTGGGAGTGTAAATTGCTGCAATGGCTTTGTAGAATTGGCAGTGTCTAGAAACTCCCAGCATACTCATATCTTATGAGTGAGCAATTCTACTCTTGCCTGCAGAAATGCATATGTATATGTGTTCGTTAATAGAGGCATAGTAGAATGTTCATGGCAGCATGTTAAGTCAGTTATTTATTAACAGTAGGATGGATAAACTAAGGCAAATTACTGCAATGAAATGCTGCACAGCAATAAGAAATGAATCAACTAACTATTGCTGCATGCAACAGCATGGAAGAATTTCACAAATATATGTTGAGTAAAAGGGACAAGCCACAAGATAATACTATCATATAATTCCATTTATGTGAAATTCAAAACCAAATTAATTTTTGGTTTTAGAAGTAATGATAGTGATACTATTTGGCAAGGTGCCATTTGGGGAGCTACACAAGTTTCAAAGGTGCTGGTAATACTTAGCTTCATGATATAGGTGACAGTTAACTAAGTGTGTTCACTTTGTGATAATAAAGCTGTGCTTACATGATTAGCATACTACTCTGTATGTGTGTTAAAGAATTCTCAGATAATTATAATTTTTTAACTAGCATAATTTATGTATTAAACTATAAATACAAATGGCATTGAGAAAATGATCATGTTAATTGACATGCTTAAAATTACTTCTAGAATTATAAATATTGTAAATTGTGTTATAAATAGTGTTGTAATATATACTTCTTTAATGATGAGCTATATATATGTAATATACTATTAAAGTAACACTGACAGATTTCAGAAGTAACCTTTTCAAACATGTTTTGAGAAGTTGGAAGTTAGTAATTTTTGGAGTGGAGAATTATGAAGACTGGTTTATTTTAGCTAGATGTTTCAAGTGAAAAATTTAAGTATTTTTAAATTTTATACATAAATCTTATAATGTACATTCAGCTGAGAACACTGAAACTGTATTGTGCGTGAAAAAGCTATGCTTTTAAGATCCTTTGAGAATAGTAAAGGCAATAAATATAATTTTAAAGTATATCTGTCTTCCAGTTTTATGAGGTGAAAGTATTCTTTGATGTTGCTGCAGTAGTGCTTTCTTGGATTACACATACACTTAAATAATGACATGGGAAATTTCTTTACAGCTAATTTTGATTTTTGGTTTCTACTAAAAAGTTTAAAGAAAAAACAGTCTAGGGAGAAAGAAAAAAAGAAAACAGTAAAAGCAAGTAATTTTTTTATGAAGTAGCTTGTTTTTCTTTGTTGGTATGCCTTAATAGAGAATTTACAACATATAATAAATTCTATTATGACCATAGTAAATTAAGCTTTTTTATTAGAACATTTTAATTTGTAATAATATCCATTTGCTTCTTTTTCTTGTTTAATTCTTTAAAAACTCAAATGAGTATTGTCATTCACCAGCCACGTTTCCTGTTATTTTCTTTAAGCTGATTCTACTTTGCCTCTGTGTGTGAGTTTATGTGTATGTCTGCAGCATGTACTATTATTAAAATAACACCAATAGATTGCATAGGTAACCTTCTAAAATAAACTTAGCCTACTAAATAGTTAATGAAATAATTTGACATTTTAACCATGTGTCTCTAATAACAGGCACTGACTAATGCGTGAAACAGGATTTTGAGTTATTTGGACCTGAAAGCATATGTCAGTGTCCCAACTTCTAGCTTGATAATTAACTCATTAACTTAGCCACAAATCCAACAACCTATTTATATCACTCTGTTCCATCATGGCCACCTTGTGGTTTCCCTAGCATACTAAGCACATGGCTATCTCAGCACTCTTGCTAATACCACTGCTTAGATCTGTATTTTCCAATATCCTCCTTTGACTCCTTCCCTCAGTACTCAAGTCTTTGTTTAAATATTGCCTCAGACATGCATTGCAACTAATAATCTCTATAATAATTCACATCATTCTCTATTCTTATTCCCTACTTAACGTTTTTGTGACACTTGTTACTATCTGATATTCTGCTTTATTTTATTTTTATTTATTTATTTTTTTGAGATGCAGTTTTGCTCTTGTTGCCCAGGCTGGAGTGCAATGGCGCAATCTCAGCTCACGGCAACCTCCGCCTCCCGGGTTCAGGCAATTCTCCTGCCTCAGCCTCCCGAGTAGCTGGGATTACAGGCACACGCCACCATGCCCAGCTAACTTTTTGTATTTTTAGTAGAGACGGGGTTTCACCATGTTGACCAGGATGGTCTCGATCTCTTGACCTCGTGATCCACCCGCCTTGACCTCCCAAAGTGCTGGGATTACAGGCGTGAGCCACCGCGCCTGGCCCTCAATTTCTTTTTTTGTTTGTTTTGTTTTGTTTTTCTGAGACGGAGTTTCGCTCTTGTTACCCAGGCTTGAGTGCAATGGTGTGATCTCGGCTCACGGCAACCTCCGCCTCCTGAGTTCAAACAATTCTCCTGCCTCACCCTCCCAAGTAGCTGGGACTACAGGCGCACGTTACCATGCCCAGCTAATTTTTGTGTTTTTAGTAGAGACGGGTTTTCACCATGTTGACCAGGATGGTCTCGATCTCTTGACCTCTTGATCCACCCGCCTCAGCCTCCCAAAGTGCTGGGATTATAGGCGTGAGCCACCGCGCCCGGCCCCAGTTCTTAATAAATACAAGATCCATGAAGAAATTTAATTGATTTTGTTTCACTGTTTTTCCAGCTCTCAGAGCTATGACAGATACACAGTAAGTGCTGTATAAATATTTGTAGTTAGAATGAATGAATGGGTCAGTGAAATATAATGCATAGTCTACATGATTCAGCTCTCAATCAGCTCCACAGAACTTGTTTATTGTCTAAACAAATAGAGAAGTAACAAATACTATTTCTAGCATGATTCTTTTTATAGGGATTGGTAGTAGATTTTAAATAAGCTCGAATATTATACAACAGACTTCAAAACTTCTTATTTCTTAAAGGAGGGCAAAAAAATGGTAAGGGGGAAACAGTTTTTAACTTTGTTTTTTATGAAATAATTAAAAATAATCTTTATTTCAAATTGTGTTTTGTCTTGTCTTTGATTATTTTAAAATATGATAATATTTAAATATGGTAGTAGTGCTCAAGTACCACTTAAAATTGTATATTTATATTGGTTTTGTTTGTTTTCCTATTTGTATCTGTTTCCTCCCCACCCCACCTTTTCTAAAGAATCCAACTCAAGTCGGAACAGCTCTTCAGGTTTTCCATAATCTTGGAACTTTGAAGGATACTATTACCAATGTTGTGGATGGATATTGTGCTACTTTGGAAGAAAATATCAACAGTGCATTAGACGTAAAAGTTTTGACTCAGCCTTCTCAGTCAGCTTTGAGAGGTATGGATGTGGTTTTATATTTAGCTTCTTTATTTATTTATAACTGAGAAGTCCTTTGAATAGTATGTGAACACTCATGTTTCAAAGCAATCTAATGACTCAGTTATTTTGTAGACAGAAAATGAGAGAAGAAATTATGTTTCAGAATTTATTTTTATCTTTTTTGTCTAATCAGTGAGTTGAACTGGCCAATTGGTATATTCAGAACTTCTAGATAAAGATCCATAAACTCTAGCGTCATTTAGTTGAGAGGAAACAGATGCAAAAGAAAAAAAAAAAAAAAGAAAGGAACATATTTTTCTTCTAAAATCCTTATGGACTTCTTATTGAGATTGAAAATGTTTTTAAGGAATGCCATCTCTATCTTAGCTTTCTGGACTTTGCTTTATGATAATCCTGGTACCCAGGAAAAATAGTGACTAACTGTGGAGATAGAAACTGATGAAATTCTTGGGAACATTACAACTATAATAATGTCTAAACAAAACTATTAAAGGAAGGTAGAGTCAAGGTAGAGAAGAGTAGGCCTTCATTAGCAATCTGTAAACCTTTTTCTACGAAGACATACCTGATGATATTTACATACACACACTTCTCCATCAAAGTAGATAGAAAATACCACAGATTACTTCCACCCTCACTTACTTGCTGGCACCCCATCTCCTCATTTTTCCCTTTATATTTATTCTTCTTTCCAGTTGGTAGAGATGAACTGTGCTTTCTCCCAACAAAGACCAAGCACTCTGCAGTTGTATTAGATCCCATCACTCCAAGGTATTGCTTCAGCAGATGCCTTCTTTCCATCAGGTTGACAATGTATCTTTCTTTGCATCTCTTTCCCTTCACATACACTTGTGTTATTGTATCTCCTTTTGCTTAAAACCAGTTAAATAAATATATCTTGATTTTTTTCTTCAGCTCTATGACCTGTATTTTATTTCTCCAATCTTCAGGAAAATTCCCCCAAAAAGTTACCTATACTTAATGTTTTTGGTTTTCCTCTCTCATTTTTCTGTTGAAGGCACTCTGATCCATCCCAGGGTTGTTCTAAAGACAAACTGAATAACTCATTGACTTAATAACGGTTCCTGATCCATAGATAATAGCAAAAAAAAAAAAAAAAAAAAAAAAAAGTGGCTATTTTTTATTTAATTTTTTTAGATTTCAAATTTTTTATTTAAAAAATAGAGATGGAGTCTTGCTATGTTGCCCCAGTTGGTGTTGAACTTCCGGCCTCAAGTGATCCTCCTTCTTGGCCTCCCAAAGTGTTGGGATTACAGACATGAGCCACCATGCCTGGCCTATTATTATTTTTATATTTGCTAGATAAATATGACCTTAAGTAATACTGAATATATATAACTTATAAGTTGTACTAGATAAAAAGAGATAAAAGAATCTTAGGTCTTAAAGAGATTTTTTTAAAGGTTAGCCTTAGCCTCTGTATAGGTTTTTATTGAAACTATTCCAGAAGGAGATCTTTGAAAAGAAATTGCCAAAGGAGATTTTACTCCTAGCTTTTCCCAGCAATTATTCTCAGAAAGTTTGATACAGTGTTTAAATTTCCAGGAGCAGTTTAATCTCATTCCCTCTTGTGTTGTCAAGAATAAGGGAAAAAAATGAAAGCAGTTATTCACATGCTGTCAATCCTAACTTATGCCTCTTTTGTTGAGAGAATAAAGAGTTTAAAGCTGCCTTCTTACCATGTGTTGACAAGTACATACCATGATTTAACATAGAAACCTTAAGCATCAGTTCTTTATTATTTTCTTTAAAAGAATAATCACAATTATTTTTTATTTTAAAATGTTTTATAGACAGTATTACTGTTAATTTTCTGATCTTGTTTATATTGAGGTTGTGTAGGAGAATATCCTTGTTTGTTGGAAATACATTAAAATATTCAAGAATGATGGGACTTCATGTCAGTAACTTACAAGTGGTTCAGGGAATTTATTTTTTGCAATACTTAAAATTTTCTGTAAGTATAAGATTATTTCATAATTTTAAAAATACTTAACATAATTGGATTCTGTCAGTGTGTTTCTGGGAGTGAACAGCTCACATCTGACGAGTATCTAACAGAGCCAGTACACAGGAGATGGACAGTGGCAATGATGAGTGTGATGGCGTATGATGTCATTTTCAATCTGAGACTTCCTAATAAGAGAACAAAAGTTTTATATATACACACACACACACACAATACAATTTTAAGGATTAAAACATAAGAAATAAAAAGCCTGTAACTCAATAAGAAAAAGGTAAACAACCCAAGAGAAAAAATAGATAAAGAGTATGAAAAGGCAGATCACAGCAGAACACATTCAATAAACATGTGAGAATATGCTCAGCCTCTTTTTGGAGGATGAAACTAGTTACTAAGGAAATACAAATTAATTATCACATTGGAAGATCTAAGGCAGAACTAACTTCTGGACAAGAGCAGAAACTCTCGGAAACTATAGGAGAATAAAATGGTTTATCCACTTTACTCAATTTTATTAATTTTATCTCTAAGGTGAATAATTTGTTCATCTCGTGATGTTAAACTTTCTAAGAATACACTGCAGGGAAACTCTGGCATGTATATGTAAGAATTTGTGCTACCTGCCCAGCTCTGTGGCTCATGCCTGTAATCCCAGTACTTTGGGAGGCTAAGGTGGATCACTTGAGGTCAGAATGAAACCAGCCTAGCCAACATGGTAAAACCCCTTCTCTATTAAAAATACAAAAAAATTAGCCAGGCATGGTGGCACATGCCTGTAGTCTCAGCTACTTAGGAGATTGAGGTAGGAGAATCGCTTGAACCTGGGAGGCAGAGGTGTAGTGAGCCAAGATCCTGCCACTACACTACAGCCTGGGCGACAGAGCAAGACTCCAACTCAAAACACAAAAAAATAATTTTTGTTACCTCATTGTTTACAATAGTGAAAAAGTACAAACATAGTTTATTAAGTTAAGATAAACTAGTTTATTAAGGGGATTAATACACAGCATTTAAATTAACAACTTTCCCGATAGAGATAATGGTCAAAAACAGTACATAAAAAAGTTGCGGAAACATACATACAGCATGATACCAATTTAAAGCCTAAGAACATGACAGACTATAATAAGTTGTTTGTGCATGTGCACATATATGCTAACAGTGTATATACATGGATTGGAACAATGATCAGCAAATTCAAGATACCAATGCCGGGCATGGTGGCACATGCCTGTAGTCCCAGCTACTTGTGATGCTGAGGCAGAAGGGTCACTTGAGCCCAGGAGTTCGAATCCAGTCTGCACAACATAGCAAGACTCTGTCTCTTAAAAACAAACTACAAAACCCAATACCATTACATCTGACGGGAGAGCAACAGAAATGAGACCAGCAAAGGAGGGGATGTGTAAACTTCACTTTATTTAATGTTGTATTTCTTAACGCTTAGTGGTTAGTGTTCATAACGTTACTCTATATGCTTTTTTATATGTCTGAAATATTTAACATTAAAACGTGAATATTAAACAGTGAAGAGAGATGGTGATGATACAAAGCAGGCAACACCAAATATCCAAATTTCATCACCCAGAAACTGTAGTTGTTACCATATAGTGAATAGTAGTCCATGCATTTATCTGTGCATTATATGTTATGGAAGGATAAATGGAGGGGCATAAATGGAATTTTAAGATACATACTTTTAAAAAATACCTTTTTATTATAAAATGAAACTTACAGAAAGAAAAACATAAATGAAACATGCAGATTAATGAATTATTATAAAGTGAACACTTCCTAGGCAAAACCAGCCATCCAGAAACCTCCTTATGTGTTTCATACCAATCATAACCAGTCCCTCTCTCTCCCATGTGTAACCATTATCCTCACATTTATATGAATCACTTCCCATGTTTTTCTTTTTATAGTATTATCCATATGTGTGAACTTAAGCACCTTAGTTTAGCCTCACCAGTTTTAGAAGTATTCTTTTTAAAATAAAATACTTTTATTCTTTTTAATGCAACAGAATAATTAGAAATTTATGTGAAATCAAGGACTTAATGAATTTTTGATTAATGCTGCTTCATAAGAAATACTACCTCTTAATTGATACCTCTACATTTAAAAGTAATGAATGAAAGATTACAAAAAAACGTAAGAAACTGAAGTCGGCGGGGCGCAGTGGCTCACGCCTATAATCCCAGCACTTTGGGAGGCCGAGGCGGGTGGATCACGAGGTCAAGAGATCGAGACCATCCTGGTCAACATGGTGAAACCCGGTCTCTACTAAAAATACAAAAAATTAGCTGGGCGTGGTGGCGTGCACCTGTAATCCCAGCTACTCGGGAGGCTGAGGCAGGAGAATTGCCTGATCCCAGGAGGCGGAGGTTGCCGTGAGCCGAGATCATGCCATTGCACTCCAGCCTGGGCAACAAGAGCGAAACTCTGTCTCAAAAAAAAAAAAAAAAAGAAATTGAAGTCATTTGTTGTTAAGTCTCTTGAGTCTTTACTACTAAATGTTGGAAATAGGCATACTTAAACTTTTCCCTACCCGCCCCTCATCCTCATTTGCCTGTTGTTAGCTATATTATATTTGAATGATTAATATTTTTTTCATTTTCTTCTATTTTTAAAAGATTTTAATCTCTAGTCTTTTAATATGACCTCTGCATTTCTTTTCTCGTTTTTTCAATAGCTTTAGGGGTACAAGTGGGTTTTGGTTACATGGATCAATGGTATAGTGGTGAAGTCTAAGGTTTTAGTGCATGGTCACCCGAGTAGTTTACATTATGCCCAATGTGTTGTTTTTTAGCCCTCACTTCCCTCTCACCCTCCCATTCTGGGTCTGCAGTGTCCGTTATACCACTCTGTCTTTTTGTATCCATAGCTTAGCTCCCACTTATAAGTGAGAATGTAAGGCATTCAGTTTTCTACTCCTGAGTTACTTCACTTAGCATAATGGCTACTTGTTCTATCCAAGTTGCTACAAAGACATTATTTCATTCTTTTTTATGGCTGAATATTATTCCATGGTGTGTGTGTGTGTGTGTGTGTGTGTGTGTAATTGCCGTGTGTACAATTACACACACACACACACATTTTCTTTACCCACTCATTGTTTTATGAACACTTAGTTTGGTTCCCTATCTCTGCAACTGTGAGTTACGCTGTTGATAAACATACACGTGTAGGTGTCTTTTTCATATATGACTTATTTTCCTTTGGATAAGTACTCAGTATTGGAATTGCTGGATCTAATGGCAGATGTACTTTAGATATTTGAGAAATCTCCATACTATTTTCCATAGAGATGATACTGGACCTTTCCATTTCTATATTCTTTTCTTTTTTGGCTGGATATTGTAATCTAGTTGATTTTTCAAAAATATTTCATGGGTACTGTGCTCCCTGATTCTTTGCATAATTGGTGGTGTCTTTTGCTTTTAGGCTTATATGATTTGGCCAGGTATAAATTTTTATTTATACTTTCTTTCCCTTAGAGTTTTGTAGCTCTTGGTGTCCCAAAAAAGAATGTTTGGCTTCCCCCACTGAATTGGAAAATGAGACACAAATTTAGGAGACAAAAAGATGATAATTGTAATGTTAGTTTTATTACTGTTAAAAAAGTGCACTGAAGGCATAGCTTAGATTTGTAGCCAAATGGATTTTTTAATATATCACCTCAAAATTAAACTTATTTCCCAATTCAGCCTTCCCCACTATATTTACCACTGGTAGAATGTTGGTCAGAATACACCATTTATACATGCAAAGCTTCAACAAGAGAGAAAGGATGGGACTGAGCCAATTCTCAGTTTCTTATTCAGATTCACTCATCACTCCTCTTCACATGGGGAGGGTTGAATAAGACGTAGGGAAAGAAGGCAAGAAAGTTAGTTTAGCTGAAGTCCCTTCATGTGAAAGACAAGGCCAGGAAAATAAAGGGTCCAATCTAACATCAGACATTCCTTTACCCACTGCTGGGTTTTAGTGTTATATTAGAGAATTACGAGACTAATCAGATTTTTATCGCCCACTAACTAACTTGCTTTTTCTTGGCTATCCAGATGGTTTTTCCTTTATCTTTGAAGTTTAGTACTTTCTTTATAATATGTTACAGAGTTGAATGCTCTGTGTCAGGTTTTATTTTTTTTCCTGAGTTAAAGTATGTTCCCTTTTATATAAAAGTTTTCTTCCATTGTATATTGAATGTTTTTCTCTTCCATTTGTTTTTTTCAGGAATTTTATGCATATATTAGATATTCTTTGTTTTTGTTTTCCATGTCTCATATCTTCTTGCACTTAATGCTGGGCATATTGTAGAAGAGAGGGTGTCATGAATGTGGAGGTCTGATTCTCTTAATATTTGCTTGAAGTTTATTCACTTGGCTTCCATTGTCTTTGTATTTTACTTCATTTTGTATTATTTCCTCTTATGTATTTCACATATGTCTTTTCACCACTTATGCCTTTTCACCCTTGTGTCTTATAATTTTTTGTTTTTTCTAATATGGTCCTAATCTCTATAATATTTTTCCAGTATATTTTCAGTAATTATGTTGAGACAGTGGAAAACTGAATATCCCTTCCTGTTGTTTCTTTGCTGATCTATGTTTATCATTGCTTTTAGCTTACATTCCTTTTTTTGCTCCTTCCTGCCCCCCTCCCCAGTGTCTATGTTAAGTTCATGATTATTTGTCATTGAAAGGTGCTAGCTATTCATTGAATAGTGTAGGAATGGCTGAAGGGAGATACCTGAAGCAGTCTGCAATTCAAATTTGTTGTCTGGAATCACCATTTTCCAGTTTCTTACTTCTTTTTACCTTGGGAGCACATCTCAAATTTTATACTACTGAGGAGCTTAGTATGGCTCCCAGTAAAGCTATTTAAGCTTTTTCTGTGTTGAATCCTAGCATTCTCAGTATCTTTTTTCTTCATCTCACTTTACCTCCAGTAGTCTCCCCATGCTCAGGGGCTAATTCTTAAACAACATGAATATTCAGTTTGTTATGATTTTCCTTCAGCTTTCCTTTTTTGTCATTTTGCAATGTTGAACATTTCCTGGCCTGTCCATATCTGTAGATCTCAGCTCTAATCAGAGAATCCTTAGATAGCTTGGGCACATTCTTACAATTGGGTTTAAGCACCATTTGTTTCTTGGTAATGATCTAAGGTGTCATCTCTCTGGTTCCTTCTTCATTTTAATGTATCTACACCAATTGGCATGCATGCTTCATAATCTCAGGTTTGAATTTTGTTTGATTCCTTGTTTCTTTGAAGTTGACATTTTCTACCTTTGGTTTCATTTTCTTTTCATTGGCATTCAAGAAAAGAGAGTAAGAAAATGATTTTACTCCACCATCATTAATTAGAAATTGTTTTCAAGTTTTTATTTTTTTGAAGAACTCTTAGTTTCTTTTATCACTTTTTAAATAAAACTTAAGAGACTATTTTGTTCCTTGAGTCTATTAAAGCTAACTCATAATGACAGTATCTTGTATTTCTGCTTGTATTTAAAAGAATAATAGGTTAACGGGTTTCATAATTATAATAAAATCAAGTCATACATATTCTAGGAATTTGACTTGTATTTTTTAGTATTCATGAAGGCACTATTTACACTTTTCTCACTGTTGTGAGTTCATTCTTTATATAACATGTGAGACAGCTGCAGATTGTTAGAGTATTATCCATTTCCTGTATACCTTCCCTAAATAGTCTTTGCGTAGCACTGCAAATATTCTAAGGATTCATTAGATGCAGTGTTCAGACAGGTAGTATCTATCTTTTTAAAGCCAATATCTTTCTCATAGATTTCTTTATTGCTTGCTACTATTATCAGATGAAAGAAATAACCGCATCTGTTTGCTAAAGGTACATGCAATTCTTTTTTGAATTGTTGAAAAACTAGAGTGAGGCAGGTTACACACACAGTGCCTCTGGTTTTCTTTATCTTGTCCTCTCTAAAAGCAGGGATATAGACTGTCTTAACCAGTGGTAAGCTCTTCAACTGTCTGGTATTTAACCTTAGTTTGGAGTGAAATTTATGCCTTTTAATTTGGGATTAAAATTTCTATTTTTTATGTTGAAACATTTCAGACCTCTACATATAGTTTCCTGTGCATATTACATACAAGAACATTCTTAAACAGTCTCACTCTGTAGAAATTTAGTATTGATCCATTAATATTATTTAACGTTCAGTTCATACTCAAAATTCTATTCCCCATAATGTTCTTTGTATAAGTTGGTTTTCCCCTGACTGGAACCAATCAGGGATCATGCTTTTCTGTTGACTGTCTTGTCTCTTTAATAAAAAACAGCACCATTGCCATTTTTTGTTTTTTATGGCATTAACGCTTTTTTGGAGAGCCTCGTAATCTGAATTTGCCTGGATTTATTTATGTGATATTTTCTTTGTGATTAGCTTCAGGGTAAACATACTGGTGGTAGGATGATGATGTGCATTTTCTATTACATCATCTCAGGAAATAAAATTATTTGTTTGTTTTATTATTGCTAATGCTAAATTAGATCACTATGTTAAATCGGCATATGCCAGATTGCTCCTTATAATATTACGCTCTTTTCTTTGTAATTAGTAATTTATAGGTGCATACTTTGAGACTATATGATGAATATCTTGTTCTGTATAACATTTCACTTAGTGTTTTGGTATCCATTGATACTCTTCCTGTTTATTATTATACTAGTAGTTGATTTTTTTCTAGTTTTGTCATTCTTTTGCATTTATGAGCTCATACTCTTTTGTAAAGAGGATTGCCATCCATTTTAAACATTTGAGTTTCACTATGTACTCATGAATTATTTTTTAATCATTGTTTTATAATTCATTACTATCAGTATTATTTTGGATAGCCAAATTTTCTGAAATTTGTGTTGTGGAAGCCCCCTCCAGTCAACTTCTTGTATCCTTTTGAAAAATTTTGTTTGTCTTCAAACACTTTATTGCTCACTGGTACAATATCTACCAGATTCACCTTGTATTTTCACTTCTTCGAATATGAAATCACTCTTTTTTCTACTGAATTCTGCTTGTTTTTGATCTTAGAAATCAAAATTTGGATACTAGATGTGCTTGATACTATTGCATAATCATTGTCTTTCCAGTGGGTACAGTTGAGAAATACCTCTAATTCCCATTACTTATTTGTATGTTTATTCTGTTTACACTGAGCACCTTATTTTGCTTTGTTCCAAAATATACCTAAACTAGTTTCAAGATTACTGCTTCAATACCACATCCAGCAAAAATCTATTAAGTGAAGTTAATTTTTTTGTAATTTTTGTGTGTGCGTAAATGTATCTCACTAAAGTCAGGGTTCTCTGATTAAAAATTCCATGAATTGAAATTGTTTTCCTATTGTGTGGTTATATTGTCAATTTGATATACATATTGTTTCATTTGTTTTGGTATTTTTTTGTATTCAGTTTTAGGGTTTTTTTTTTTTTTTTTTTTTAAGAAAGAAGGGAGATCACACACACACACACACACACACACACACTCCTTCAAGGAAACCATTTTCACCAATTCCATTTCATTCTTCCCGGGTATGGGTCCCTTTATTTCTTAAATATAAAAGGTTGATTCTTACAAGAAATTATTTCCTGAAGAAGGAACTTCTCATTTTTTAGTTTTTGTATGCTTCTCATAATAACGTGTTTGTATTTTTGCTTTTGGAAAACTTTATTTTTCATATTTCTTTCTCACGTCTAACCAGGGGGTCCTGGACGATCTACCATGCCAACCCCAGGAAATACTGCAGCTTTGCGTGCTTCACTCTGGACCAATATGGAGAAACTTATGGATCATATTTATGCTGTTTGTGGACAGGTAAATATTTGAAGGAGTGGAAAGAACGTTAATATGGATTAACTCCTGATTATTCCAAGTTGTGTCACCTTGGGCAGGTTTTTTAATCAGTGAGCATTCAAAATAACTCCACTATCTGATTAAATGTATGTAAATTATCCTAGTAGTTGATTTTTTTCTAGTTTTGTCATTCTTTTGCATTTATGAGCTCATACTCTTTTGTAAAGAGGATTGCCATCCATTTTAAACATTTGAGTTTCACTATATACTCATGAATTATTTTTTAATCATTGTTTTATAATTCCCTTTCCTTGCTTTTTCTAGTGCCTAAGCTTTACATTTGTTTCATTTAAGGTACAACATCTACAAAAAGTACTGGCCAAGAAGAGAGATCCTGTTTCTCACATTTGTTTCATTGAAGAAATAGTTAAGGTATGTTTAAATGAAAATATTTTTATATCTTTCTTGTACAAAACAGGAATATATGAACCAGCATCATTTGTGTTACTACCTTTCAGAGTGGTTACATGTCAAATGGCAATAGAGAAGCATATTTCTTGACAGCTGTAAATGTTCCTTGCAGTATAAATGGAATTGTGGGGCCAGGTGTGGTGGCTTATGCCCGTAATCTCAGGATTTTGGGAGGCCGAGAAAGGTGGATCATGAGATCAGGAGTTCGAGCCCAGCCTGACTAATGTGATGAAACCCGTCTCTAATAAAAATACAAAACTTAGCCAGGCATGGTGGCGTGTGCCTTTAGTTGCAGCTACTCAGGAGACTGAGGCAGGAGAATTGCCTGAACATGGGAGGCAGAGATTGCAGTGAGCCAGGAACACGCCACTGCATTCCAGCCTGGGCAACAGAGTGAGACTCTGCCTCAAAAATAAATAAAATAAAAGTGATTGTAATTGTTTATGGAGTAGATGCTAGCAATAGTAGTATTTATTCATTACAGATTAATTTCTATAATGTATATACTAATTTCTCATTTTCTATTATATAAATGATAGCTTATAAGTGCTTTTAAATGTTCCACTAGAGAATAAGGTGAATATTTTTGGTAAATAAGACATTTAAATAGAAGTCATTATAATGTGTTTACTGAAGGTTGTTGATTTTTCCCTTAAAGTACTTTGCTGTATTTATTTTTTATATTCTGAGGTCTTTCTGTCATCCACCAATCTGCTAGCCTCATGGGCCATAAAAATTCCTTCTATGCATAGGAATCCGTGATTCTACATTTTACTCGTTATATTGATGTGTTTTTGATCATGATTACTAGGACAATGATTGTACCTGTCATTAAATCCTAACCTCTAGTGGCCCAAAGAAAAAAGTTCCCTGAATTTCCAGCATCATGGTATAGGTAATTTCCTTTGTAATTCCACAATATTAAATATTTTGTATACTGTGTGGAAGGTCTCCAGGACTGTCCCTCAGGTTTGATGATTTATTAGGAGGATTGACAGGACCCGGTATCACAAGATCCTTAGGGTGTTACTTCAACAGCCAGAAAACTCTGTGGCCAGCAGCACTTTCTGCCTGAGTATTGCTCATCCCCACTGGGCTCATTCTGCCTACTTGGCCCAGCAGGCTGCACTTTGCTCGCACTAACCAGCCCGGACTGCACAACTGCCAAGCACGAACCAGGCACAGAGTGGCGAGTGGTGTGTGAGCGACAGGTGCAGGGTCCAGTCACTGTGCACAGCCTGGCACACTGGCTGCTGTGGCAGGGGAGGCAGCTCCAGGTGCCAGCACAGGTGCTAGTTCCATGTGAGGCTGCAGCTGGACCAGATGTACTGCATGTGGCTTTTGCTGCAGGTACCTGCATCTGGATGAGGGGAATGCGGTGACACCTGCAAGCTTAGAGACACCAGGAACTGCAGAACCCCAAAGAAGGTGTCACAGCCCTGGCTCAGGGAGCCCCTAGGCATGGGCTCCCCAAAGGGCCACAGCTCTTTTCTCCTTCTTGTTGTCCACAATGTGGTGAGTGGTGGGGGTGTGTTTCAGTCCTGTTTGTGTTACAGCTCTTTTAGTCCAGCCATTTGGTAGATCCTGAGTTCTTGTCCCACGTTCAAGAAGACTGAGGCATGTGGACAACTAGAAGGTGAGCAAGGCAGAGAGGAGCTTCACTGAGTGGCAGAACAATTGTCAGGAGACCTGAAGTGGATAGCTGTTTTCCACAGGCAGGTCGTCCCCACAGGTGTCCAGCTCTTAGTGGAGAGGAGACCTGCAGTGTGTAGTTCCCTTCCGCAGACAGATTATTCTGACTCTGTGCAGCCTTCAGTGGAGAGGAGGTCTGGAGTGGGTAGGTCCCATTTGCAGACAGGTCATCCCAACATTCATGCAGCCCTCAGCACAGAGGAGACCCAAAGCAGTTAGCTCTTATCTGCAGGCAGATCATCCTGTCATCTTTGTAACCCTCAGCATAGAGGAGACCTAGAGTGGTTAGCCTGTACCTGCTGGCAGGTTATCTTGTCATCTTTGTAGCCCTCAGTAGAAAAGAGACTTGGCGTGGATAGGTCCCATTGGCTGGCTGGTCATCCTGACATCTGTGTAGCCCTCAGCAAAGAGGAGACCCAGAGTAGTTAGCTTGTATCTGCTGGCAGGTCATCTCGTTGTTTGTGCAGCCCTCAGTAGAGAGGAGACCTGGAGTGGATAGTTCCTATCCACAGGCAGATAGTCCTGTCATCTGGCAGAGTCTGGCTGAATCGGGGGTTTTTATGGGCTTCAGAAGGGAGAAAGTGTGTGCTGATTGGTTCATGGCTAGCCATGGGCAGTCCTGGAAAAAATACCATAAATTCTTACTCCAGTCCGTGAATGGGCAGTTCGGCCCCCAAGCTTCAGGTCCCTGGCTTAAATATAAGTGTTCACTGGGGACTTGCCCATTTCTGCCCAGGAGCCTATCTGCCTCCTGCCACCATCTCCCTGTCATCCACAGCACCCAGGCTGTTCATGCCAAGGGGTACCTGCAGGCCCTCACTGAGCTGCACTCAGCACTCCCTCAGCCTCCCTCCCATGCTGTTCGGCATCCAAAGTCCGGAGGTGGGCAAGGAAGCAGAGGGCTGGTGTGTTAACGCTGCTCCAAGCATGCACACACCCAGCTGAGTTGTGACAGCACCTGGGCTCAGCCTCATATGTGCTCCAAAATCAAATTGGGTGCTGGGAGCAGGGAGAGGCCAGGCAGTGGGAGCGGACACTTTAAAGTCCGTGGAGGTAGAGGGCTTCCCAGGTCCCCAAGAACACAGGGATGCCTGGGTCTGCAACTGTGGCTGGGTGGCTGCAGCTGCACGCAGGAGGGCAGGGCTCTCACCCTCCGACTCGGAAGTGGGCAGGGCTCCTGCCAGCTCCCCACTGCAGCCAGCCTCATGGCAGCAGCTGCTACAGACAAGTCACCCCTGCCATCACCAGCATATAGTTGTACTCATGGCTATCATTTGTGGCAGTGAAAGGATATGAAACAAAATCAGCAAAGCAAGAAAAGATGCATGGGGCAAAGTCTAGAGGAAACCAGATGCAAGCCTCCAGAGTCCTGTCCCACTGGAGTTGCACATGAATCTCTTGATTTTTCCAACAGCAAGTTACGACAGCATGCGTAAGTGCTGTCGACCAGGAAAACTCAACTTGACCTTGTGAGTCCAGAGTTTTACCAGGGGTTACTTAATGACTAAAGAAAGACATACCAGAATTCTAGATGCCCAGTGGAAAAGCAGGTATTCAGTATAAACCATATTGTTTGTCACAAACAGTTTAGGTCCAGTGAACAACTCTTATCAGTTAGAGAATCATGGGGTCCCTCTCAAAATCTAAGTTCCTGGATGCTAGCACAATACCAGCCTTGCAGTCAGGATTTTCTGATGGTAGCTATCTCAGACCTGTTATGTTAACTCTCTTGTGCACATGTACTTACATCATTACATACCTGCTTACTTGACCGTGCTTTCTACTTGGCTTTCATTTGTGTGAAAGAAGCAATGAGATGCTTTTGTCAAGGGGTATAGTCACTCATGTTTTGCATTTATTACTAGACAGGATAATTAATATTGGTCCTTCATATTTACAGTTAAACAACTATACTTGCAGTGTTTTCATTCATTTGTTCTGATTTTGGCTGTCTTTCTATACAAATCAATCGATTTAGTCTTTATGTGCAGTGGCCTTATTTCAAGCTTTTGTTATCTAATATTTTGGATACTTTTTATTCCTTTTGAACAGGTTAATTAATATTCTACAAACAACATAAGGACAATTATAATGGAACAACTATACTGAGGAGCATCTAATGAAAATATCAAAAATAATACTGCTGTTTAGGAGGTTTATGTTTGTAATGTTGTTACATTGGGCAGAGTTTCTACATAAAAACATACATAAATTCTTTTTAACAATAAAGTATTAAGGTGAATGAACACTGGCAATTTGTAGAGGCCACATTTTAAATGCATATGAGGCTGGGCACAGTGGCTCATGCCTGTAATCCCAACAATTTGGGAAGCTGAGGCAGAAGAATATTCTAAAGCCATGAGTTTGAAACCAGCCTGGACAACATAGAGAGACCTCGTCTCTACAAAAACTGAAACAATTAGCCAGGCGTGGTTGTGTACGCCTGTAGTTCCAGATAATCAGGAGGCTGAAGCAGGAGGATTGTTTGAGCCCAGGAGTTCAAGGTTACTGTTAGCTAGGATTGCCCCACTTTACTCTAGCCTGGATAACAAAGTGAGACCCTTTCAGAAAGAAAGAGATAGAAAAAGAAGAAGAGAAAGGGGGAGACGAAGAGAGAGAAAGAAAATGCATATGAATCATTACCGATTTAAAAAGGATTGTTAGCGATAGGGATATATGCTTTCCTTTTATTCGCCTATTTCATGTACTTAAATTTCCCATTAAAATAAAACCATTAAAGATTGCTCTTTCAGAGACTGTCTTTAGGCTATTTAAGAATATATTCATATGCAACACACATATACCTATTTATATTTATATATAAATTTTAATGTAAATTACCAGTTGAAAAATTTTTGATGGTAATATTTATGAAAAAACTTTAGTCTCTCTTGGAATTCAATGTACCTATCTATAGAAAAGATCAGTCTTTTGTGAAAAGTCCAAAATGTCGTTTCCCCCTGCATACTTGGGAATTCCAGAGCAACAGAAAAGTAAAAAAAACTCAAAAGAAAAATCTTGTCATATATTGCAAAGATAGCACGTAAGGTTCTCAATATTTAGTACAATTTATTTGAATAGTCTTTTCCTTTAAATATATCTTTATTATAAAGCTGTAAAATATTTTACCAAGTGAGAACATTATTTTTCTAGTTAAGATAATTATCATTGACAATAGAACCTTTATAACAAGTTCAGGATTTTTAGAATGATTTGGAGACCCTAAGTAATAACCCTCTTGAGTCACTGAAGAGTGAGATGTGGACCAA